CGATGTTGTTTCTCTCTGTTTCAGGAACTCCAACAGCAAAAACGACCGGAGGAATCGCAAGTTCAAGGAGGCCGAACGGCTCTTCAGCAAGTCCTCGGTCACCTCGGCAGCGGTGAGTGCCGGGCCCCGGCGGGAGCGAGCAGACGTCCCTCTCCCTGTCCCTCGGTGCAGCCGGTCCCCCTGCTGCAGGACCCGTTTTCCACTTAAGCTCCTGTACCTGCCCAGCCTCCCCCGACCTGAGCATTTTCATCCCCCGTTGCAGTCTCTCTCAGAAACCCTTTTCCTAGTGCCCGGAAAGGTGAAAGGGAACCACAGACAGGAGCCACCCATGCCATGCGTGTGTCACTGCCATCTGTGTCTTTATCTTTTTGCTTCTAACGCCCTTCTGCTGTGCCATGCTGGTGCTAGGTTGTAAGCTCTTTCAGGCAAAGGCCTGATCTGTCTTTCTCTGTGAGGTGGTCTCTGTGTTTCTGAGCATTTGAAAAGTGGCGAGTTGCTGCTTTCATTAACGTCCCTCTTGGTTTTCTAGGCGGTCAGTGCATTAGCTGGAGTTCAGGACCAGCTCATTGAGAAGCGTAAGTCACTTTTTCATTTCTCTCAGAGTTTGGAAGGAACTACACTTCTCCCCACCATTCAGCCGTGTCTCTGGTTGTCTGGATCCATGCGGTACTCACTGCTTCCCCGCAGCGCTCCCTGTCCAGGGACCTGCATCTGCTCCTCTCAGGCCGGCTCCTGAGCGCTCCCAGCGCAACCGCTGGCTGCACAAGTCAGCAAAGCAGCGCTGTGAGAAACAGAAGTGAAGTCGAGCATCCTTTCTCGAGTAAACTTTTATGCCCAGCAAAGGGTTTATTGTGCATAAAACTTATTTAAATGGATTTGTTGCTCTTTGGAGAAAGAGGCTGGAAGAGCTGAAGCAACGCGTTTCTGTTCGTGTGTCTGTTGGTCAGTCGCGGGTGGCGTGGGGAAGAGCCACTTACGTTTAGGGTTTAAAAATGTTTTTGTAATTGATCCCAAGTCAGATACGATTCTCGTGAGCCTCAGTTGCTGAGGAGGTAGCTTACTGTCCTTCAGAAATGTTTTTCAGGTTCTTTTACCTCCTGGAGCTGTAAGGCTTGGCGTGTCTCTGCTGCCCCGTGTACTGTTGCCGGGGGGCGCTTCTTCCGTGTGGGGCTCTGCCAGGGCAGCCCGGGCTGTGAGCTGCAGGGAGGTAACCGCTGTGCCCGTCTGTGTGTGTCGTGCTCTAGGGGAGCCAGGCAGTGGCACGGAAAGTGACACTTCTCCAGACTTTCACAATCAGGAGAATGAGCCCAACCAGGAGGACGCTGAAGAGCTGGATGGGTCTGTGCAGGGGGTAAAACCCCAGAAAGCTGCTTCCTCTACTTCTTCTGGGAGCCACCACAGCAGCCACAAAAAACGGAAGAACAAAAATCGACACAGGTTAGTGGTACCAGCAGCCTTCTTGTCACGCCTTCTGAAGGGTCAGCTGTCGTTGAATTTACTTTGTTGTTTGAAAGGAACTTGTACCTTGTTAGAATAACGAGCAGCTCAGGTCACTTGTTTTGGTGGTTTTCCTGGGTTTTAGTTGTGCGGTCCTGTAGCGTTCATCAGACCCTGTCACCCTCGTTGTGTCAAGGAGGGAAAAGCATGCTGAAGGGGTTACCGAGGCAGCACGGGGGACCCGCCCCGGCTATGGTACACTAGGCTTTTGACCAGGCTCTTTCAGTTCTCCTGTCTGTCCAGGAGGATCAAGCTGTCTTCCTTCCAGCAAAGGAAGGCTGCAGTCCTGGCCTCCTGTGCTTGCTGCTTGGCTTTTGCAGAACCAAGACAGGAACATCAGTACTTCCTTTGGGGAAGGAGGGTGAAAAAGCAGACTGGAATGTTTTGGGGGTTGTGGGCGCTCCCGGCGTCTCCACTAAGATTTCCACTCCAAGCCCTTTCAGCTGTCACATCCCAAACTGAGTCTCTTCCTATTACAGCATAGAAGAGTTGCTTTGTCACATTAACCTCCCAAGTGTTCGTTATTAAACTGAACTGAAATTCACCTGAAAAAAAGGTTCTCTGAGCTCTTTATGGCTGCATTTAGATGACCAGTTCTTCCCTTAAGATGAGCCCCTAAGGCGTGGTGCAGCCTGGCGGCTGATGGCTCAGAACTGTGAAATGGACACTCTGCCTTACAGCGCTGCTCTCCATGGGCCCACAGAACCTGCTGCCAACCGTGTCCCGGCGCCCCTCAGCAGAGGTAGCCCGAGGATTTCTGCAGGAGTGGCAGTGGGGTCAGGCCCTAAGGTGGAAAACCCGTGGAAATCAGTGCTCTTGGAAAGAGGAGACGTTTACTGCAGAACTGCACCTCTGGAAATGGTTGCTGGAGCTGGTACCTAAAGATTATTAGAGTCATAGATCATTAAGGGCGGAAAAGACCTGTAAGATCATCAAGTCCAACTGTGAAGTAAAGGAGCTTTTAGAAATCGAGTGTTGGTGCAAACTTGGAGCTTGTTGGCTTTGTGTGCGGATGGGCTTTCCTCTTTAGGGGACCTTCCCTTAGAATTACGGGAGAGAAGTATTGTAAAGAAAAGTGGTAATATTTTACAGAGATTGCTGGGGAAGGTTGGTTTGGGAGTTGTGGAGGTAGGTATAGTGCTCGAAAAATGTTTAACTGCTTTTTCTCCATTAGTAGGTTTTGAGTCATTAGTGTGCCTTTAATTCTTAGGTCAGAATTTCCTTCCTACAGCAGTCTTAGCTGGGCAAACATCCTAAAGTGCTGGATGTCCCTTTGGTTCCTCCTGAGCTGGGAACCTGAAGCAGTTCAAAACCCTTTTTTTTGCCTGTAGAGAATTAGAAAGAAGTTCAGGCACTACATGAGGCATTACAGCGTATACAAGTTCAGAGAAACAATCTGCAAAGCTGAAGTACAGCTTACGAAAACTGCTATTTCAAACAGACTATAAAATCTGCTGAGCCCTCCCGTGGCCAGCAAGCCCGTCCGCTGCGGGCGCAGTGGGGTGCGACACAAATGCTGTAAATAACGCAAGTTCTTTTGCTCCGTTACATCACCCGAACTTTAGCGACAGGCGTTAGGAAGGAGCCACCCTGCGGACAGGTGGTGTTGCTCTGGGGTTTCTCCTGCATTCCCTCCGCTGAAGCGGCTGATGGTGGCTGCTGTCGGGGACAGTGCTGGACGTGAGGAGCCCTGGTCTGATGTGGTGTGGCAGTTCTCATCGTCCCAAGAGACGCGTCAGACACTTCTACGTTATGGAGAGGCTTAGTAAGTTAGTAACGGACTGCTTTGTAGTGCTTAGCGTGGCCAGGTAGGTAATTAAGAGAAGAAGATAATTAAGTTTGTTTGCAATAAAAACTGTTAAAATTGTGATTGCCATTACTGACTATCCCCTAAATTTGGGCAGAAAAGACCGATTTTCAAGTATATCCAGGTTAAAAAAAGCCCAGCAACAAACCAGTCCCAGTCTGCTGAAAGTACAGCTACGTGTAAAACGCATTGCAGCCCAGGGTGCTCTTTGGGAAGAGGCTGCAGGTCTGTTTCTGGCATGAAAAAGAGAAAAATAGAAAGAAATGTTGGCATTTCTTTTTGTTCAGAAGCTTTTCTGCTTGCTAGCATACGTTTGAGTTCTGCTCACCTCTTCCTGAAGAACTGGGAGGTGTTGGGAATGGGCACCCTGAAGGTGCACCGGCTCCACGACTTCGTATGGCACCGACAGCGGTGTGGGCAGGTGGATTCAGACTGGGCAGAACTGGGGTGGATGGGCAGCTTAGCGTCAAACAGCTGAAAACAGGGAATTGGGTGGAAGGTCCAGTGCCTTTACTGAAGTCGTCCCCTGTCCCCTCTGCGGCCACGGGAGGCCAAGATGGTGATTCTCTGTGTGCTCAGGAGCTTTCATGGCCGAAAGGTATTTCAGGAGGAAGCGGTGCTGTGTCCTAGGGATGCCGTGCTGAAGAGGTCACAGCTGCGTGGTGGCGAGTCCTTTGTCAGCCGTGGGGCAGAGCTGTCCAGCGGCAGCGCGGGGTGCGCGTGTGAGTGCCGAGGCGAGGGGTGGGAACATCGCCGAGCTGTAACGAGCTCTGGCAGGTCACCGTGCTCCTGGCAGCTCTCCGGAGGAAGGGGTGCGAGCGGGGGGTGGTTACGGGGACGTGCGGGTGCACAGTTGGGCACCGAGTTGTGTGTCGTCGCTGCCTCTGCCTGAACACGCTTTGCTTTGCCGTAACAGTTGAGACAAGCCGCCGCTTTCTGACCCCCTGCCCGCTCGTTTTCGCAAGCAAACCAGTTTCTCTCCGCCCGTGAGCTGTGTGCGCCCTCACGTCCCGGGTAGCTTCCCCTTTCGGCGCCCGAAGCTCCCTCCACAGAACCGCTCCGCCCCTGCTCTAACACCTTTTTCCCAGAAATCCGATTGGGGAGGGGGACACTGGACTGCCGGATCTGGAGTGCTTTGTGTGCCCAGGTCTGGTTAAGATACCTTGAGAACTTTATGGCATTTGAACACTGGCTTTATTACTTATTTTATTTTATTTTGTTTTTCAGTAATCTCGCTAGGGTGGCTAATCAACTAATTTATTTAATTCGTTAGTATATTAATTTCTATTGCTTTCTTCCTTTCAAATGCTGCCCCTCAGCCCGTCTGGCATGTTTGATTATGACTTTGAGTAAGTTTGACTTGAATTAGTACTTGTGCTGTGTTGTTAGTGTGTAGACACCAATGTGCCTTTTGAGACCTTTCTAACCCATAGTTTATCTGTTTAATTGTAGGTATGTATATTAGGTTAGGCTGGGAAGTTTTTTTTAAAAACAGAAAAGCGTGATGGAGGTAACATTTTATTTAATAACTTCAGCAAAATTAAATTAACTTCACTTTTCTTTAACTTTCTATTTCATTTTTAAATAGATAAACTTTTTTTAACTTAAAAACTTAGTTTAAAAACTGATTCTTCTGGCTTTGCTTCTTAAGGAGATAGCATAGACTTGGATATTTCCTTCTGGAAAAATGTAATAACTCAGTACCTTTGACTCCTGTAATCCCTGTCCTCTTAAACTCCTATCTCTACTCCGAGGAAATAACCATTACCACTATGTCTAAATAATTACCTGTGGCATAGTTACACAGCTAACAAATTAACATAGAGCATGCGTATTTAACCCTATTTCCTTATGCTGCATAACTTCCCTGTGATTTTTGTTATGAACCTTTATTAACTCTTCTTTTGAGCGGACGGAATATGCATTTTGGCAAACAGTAAAGAATCCACGCTCTGTCTCTTTGCTGCTGTCTTGTCCAGTAATGTTGGGACAGTGATTTGGCTCAGCCGAATTGAGAATGTGGATTGAATTAACCAAATAGTCTTTGTTGTAGCCTGTGCCATATGCAGTAGCTGGTTCTTTGAACTCCGGTGTTGGTTTAATGTATTGAAATGGACATTTCTCTTATCTTTCCAACCACAGGATTGATCTCAAGTTAAACAAAAAGCCAAGAGCCGTAAGTATCAGTGCTCTGTCATTGTTTTCATTGCTCATCTGTAGACTCAGTGGCTGACTGCCTCCTAATCTTATAAAGCCTCCTCCTGCTGTAATTTAAGATCCTACTGACATGGTTGAGGAATGTCATGGTATGAAATAAGCATTGTCTCGTGGATTTAACAGTAAATAAGCCCAGGTAGGCCTGTCATGAAGCTAGGTCACAGCTGAGCCCTGTGCTCTTTTATTCAAAAAAGCTGGTTCGCGTCCTGTTACCTTCTCATGATCTGGAACATTAAAAGCATCTGGGTTTGGTTGATGCGTTCTTGAACAAAGGTTTCAAAGGGTCCTTTGTTTTGAATGTGTAGCTACAAGAAAAAAAAACAATCTCTTTTCTGTTTTGCCTGCAACTCATGGTGTGTAGAAGTGAGAGAAGACTGAGAATCCCAGCTCTGCCGGCAGAACTGGGGACAGAAAGGTCCTAATGTGCCTGTCTTTCCTTCCTCTGCAGGACTACTAGACTCATCAGTGCTGATGCTTCTGGGATTTAGGTCTACATGAATCCCCACTGAGGAAAACTCCAGTCGACTGAGTGAGCAGGATGGCAGCTCTCTGGCCAAGCGTCTGCAGATGGGAGTGGCTCACTCCAAAGAACTTAGGTGGGGGCAGAAAATCTTGGACCACGTACTTCGCATCATTTTTAAATCACCTGAGTTGCAGGAGGACTAAGATGTAGTAGTAGTAGTAGTCGTCCTGAATTCCTGACTATTCTGTGCTTCCACCTCAGTCAGGAACTTCCTAAAATTGGCTGATCTTGCTGCTGCCACCCCTGTCATCTGCAGACCCGTGGAGAGGTGTTTCTTTTTCCGCTGGAACTGGGGCACGACTCAGTACATCCCATCCGTGTTGTCAGACTTAGATTACTTTTGTTGCTGATACTTAGCTTTGTAGTCTGGTTTTTGTTTGGGGTTTTTTTTTTGTTGTTGGTTTGTTGTTCTGTTTTTTAAACCAAAGTGTATAGTTAACAAATTGACTTTTGGTTTCTTTGTTTTAACCCATGTAGAGTGGAAGTGTCTTCATTTTGTGGAACAGCTCATTTTGATTCTTGCTGAAGCAGAGAAGAAGGTGGTGGTTAACCCTTTTCTCCACCTTTAAACACCATCCCCTAAAATTTACGCAGTGCTTTTAGATGCAGGGAAGGCTGGAGCTCAAAGCCATCTTGCTCTTTACTGTCTTTGAGGTTGGGTGGATTCTCTTTTTAATACAAACTTCTGTCATTTGTACATAAACAATAAAGTTACGTGTTTGTCTCTCTTCTCATGTTTTGTTCAGTCCAGAATTTGACTCCTGGTGCTTTTATTCTCCATCTGCTTTATGCTGGAATTCTTCCACTTCTGTGTGTAGCTGTCCCTTGTCTCATGGCCCTCAGGAGGTTTCCTTTGTGCTTGCTTTCCTCTGGTAGACATAACATTGAGTACTTGGAAGGGTTGCCAGGCACTAATCTCCGGCTGTGTTCAACTGATCCCGCTTCAAGGTAGGACTTGGACATAAACCAGTTCTTGCTGATACTGGCAGAACGCCCGCAGATAAGGGATGAGCAGGCTGGATTGCCACCAGACGAGTACAGAGGGATGAGTTGGGTGCTTTTCACAGTAGCCAGGTAAAGATACCAGCGCTGATGTTGAAACAAGCTTTGCTTTTCTCAAGGTGGTAAATTGCCTTGGTTACCGGCGCTGTAGCCTGTTTGTATCTGCTTAAACATGGCCGATGGTGAGAGTGCCGCGGGGAGAGTCACGGGGAAGAGTCGTGCCCCTGGCCTGGCATCTCCTGGCACCTGCCTGTGCCTTCGGTACAGCCGGGCGTTGGCTCCGTCCTGCTGCTCCTCGGGTGTCGTGGCTCTTTCTCAGCTCCCGCCAGGCAGCCCCGTCGGTGCAGAGCAGTGCCCGACAGTGGCGGCACGTCTGCAGGAGCAAAGTTCTCCCTTGTTCTGGTGCTGGTTCAGAGATGAAGGCAGCTCCGTATTTGTTCACGGTGGGAGCTCATTGTCCCGTGGTAGAGCCAGTGGCTGGCACGCTGCTGATCTGTGGGGGGTGTCGGGATGTAACGGCTTCATGGGAGAGCAGCAAAGCCGTGCTATTTCGTTGTGTTTTAAGTTACAGAGGTTAAATACAGGGGGGTGGAAGATCGAGGAAGTAGCACAAGCTCCCCAAAGGCCTTGCTTTTCCATAGTTCTGGGAAAAAGAAATCTTAGCTGATGGCTTTTGATTTCTCGGCCTTGATACAGAAGCAGTTTTTCTCCTACTACTGCTGCTGTTCCAAAGCAAGGATTGCAAGAGCACCTGAACTTCAGAGGGTAAAAATCTTTGCTGCGCCTCTTTGACCTCGAGGAAAGCTGCTGTACCTTTTTGGCCAGAACATTTACCTGCAGAGGAACAGCAAAGGGCTCGTGTAGCTTGGAGTCCTGTGTGTACGGGCGATTTTTGTGGCCAAGGGTCAGTCAGCTCCGCTTTCCCTGTGATCGGTGTTAAGGGTGCTGCAGGGACAAGGGGAAAACATAATGCTTCCTGCCTGCGGCAGTGTTTGTCACTAAAGGAAGGGGACAGCCTGTTCTGATGAGGACACTGTCTGATGGCAGCAGCCCTGGGGAGCCAGCGCATCGATCAGGGCAGACAGCTAAATGGCAAATGCTCGGTTCACGGTTAGCGGCCACCCCTCCCAGCTCCTGCTGGTGGGCAGCAGCCCTTTGGCTGCCGTGAGACGGGTGAGGGGACAAGGCCATGGGGTCTGCCCCAGCGGAGGAACCGTCGTGTGTCGCAGAGCGAGCGGTGGTGGCCACAGCTCCACAGCACCAGCTTCCCCACGGTGATACTGTACGGCGGGGGGAGGACAGCGTGTGGGATCTCCGATCGCTTGGGGACAAAAGCACCATCACCTACAGGAGGGGCGTGAGGTGGACACTGGAGTCTGACTCTGGCAGTTGTTCCTAAAACTCCTGTGTTATTTCTGAAGACTTCCTTTTTTCTTCCTAAACAGCCCGGGTGCCTAAGGATCCCCAGGAAAGCCAGGCCTTGGACACAGGCATCAGAGCAAGCTGCACAGGCTTTTACCTGGATGCTAATGAAAGCAAAATGTTAAAATTAAATCATAAGTCCTTTCCTTGCAGAAGATTAATCCTGAGCAGCGCAAATGCGTGGTGGCAGAGCAGGAACTGTCCTTGTGGCCACCAAAGGTAGAGCAGGAGACACGCTAATCCCCTGCACAGCCTCGTCACCAAGAGGATTAGGCAGGAGTTTATCGAGCCCAAGCGAGCGGCTGAGCGGCCGGCGAGAGCTGGAGGGGCAGCAGCCGCCCTGGGAGGGGTCCGCCACCAGGTAGGGGGGTGCAGAGCCGGGAAGGGGGAGCCGTCCCTGCTGAGCCATGTCCCACGTGCTGGGATCTGGCTCCACAAATGCTCTCCCTTTTGCTAGTCTGGCACTCGGCAAGCC